GGCGGACTCTCAACCACTGCGCCACCAGGGAAGCCCCACCCTCCATCTTTAACACCGTTCCTCACTTGCTGGCTATAATTTCTGAAACTGTATGGACGCAGTGGCTGCATCAAATTTCCGGAGTCGTCACATTGCAAACCCACTGGATGCTGAAGAGCAGGATAAAGTAATTATTACACCGCAGGGTGATTTCAGGAAAATTTGATGTGGTGGATTAAAAATAAAAGCCATTATCTCTAGTCCAAGGATTGGGCCAGAGGTTAAAAACAAAAACAAACAAGGACACAAACAAAACCCCTTTGTTTAACAAGGTGCCACAGACCATCATCGGGAGAAGTCACTTTTCTTCTCCTTCTACAGTCCTGGAAAAGAGGTAAATTATGTCCTGCTTGGTGGGATTGCACTGTCAGCCAGCACCTGTTTAGTTCTTGCTGCCTACCAGGCATCGCCTGGATTACCTCGTTTAATCTTCATAACAGTCCTCAGCCACATTGGCATAGTTATTATTGTTGTTATTATCATCCCAGACAGAATCACAGGCACAGAGGGTGAAGCAACTTGCCCAAGAACACAAATAATAAACGGCATAGTTATGGAGCTGCCAACCTAGGGCAGGGATTCCTGCTTACCCCACCCAGAGACATGGGAAGGGGTTGGGGGGCTGTGCCTGACCCTGATCATCTCCTTGTCAGTGTCCAGGCACCCGTGGGGGGGAGGGGTGGGTGGCAATGGCAGAACCCAAGACCTCCCGCTCACTACTCCCCCTCTGATGATGAGGCCAGGTTGCCACCCCGACAGAGGTAAGCAGGAGACTTAGGTTTGGCTGGGGAGGGCCAGGGTGCCAGGGCAGGGTGGGCACCCAAGAGGACTGTGCAGGAGCTGAGGCTCCAAGACCCCTGGGCTTGTTCCATTGTCCCATCACATCTCACTTAAAAAACACAGATCTGAAGATAAAATGATTCAGAATTTGAAGGCCGCAACCACAGAGCATTAAGCCCCAAGCCCTTCTAAGTGCGGGCATGTGTGACTGCACTAGTTGCATGTCCAGGAAGCAAGCCCTGGCCACAGGCACCCACGCCAACATACTGACTATGGTCAGTGGAAGATCATGGAAAACTGAAAAGTCAGAATGTAAAGATTTGTTCAGACTGTAAAAATCTGTCCTGCCATTTCACTTTGAAAAGTAAAAACTGCTGTGAAATATAAAGTGCTACTATTAGTCCCCACAAATAACTTCATTCTGGACACCTCCCTAAGGAGCGTCTTTCTTTATGAAGCCTGACTTGGCCTTCCTAAATAGAATTGACCGCTCTTTTATTGTGCTCCTTCCTAATTTGTGTAATTATAATAATGTTTGGATCTTGGGCTTAGGAATAAGACACACCTGGGCTGGAATCCCAGCTCTGTCAGTGACCTGTTGTGAGACTGGGGCAAATTACTTGCTTCTGCTCTTCTTTTTGAGGACTGGGATAGTGCAACTCTGGTAGCTCCAGCCATGCTGTACTGGATAGGCTGAAGGATGGCAATCAGGTTGAAATGAGACCACAGGACTTGTCCTGACCTATGTTTTCAAAAGTAAGCACATTCGGGGATATGGGGACATGTGTATGCATATGGCTGATTCGCTTTGTTGTGCAACAGAAACTAACACAGTATTGTGAAGCAATTATACTCCAATAAAGATCTATTAAAAATAAATATATAAAAGCTTGAGAGATGAAAAAAAAGTAAGCATATTCGTTTTCACTCATTTTATGTTTATTTGGCGGGTTTGGTGCGCGGGACGGGGGAGGGGGTGGTCATGGAGATGAAGAGGGTAAAGGGCATTAGCCACTGATGAGACTAATGCTTACCAGGGTCTGACACGGAGAAAGTTAACTGCAAATATTTATTATTAGGTTTTTGCACTAGACTGAGTTTCTTGAGAGCTGAAACTGTATTATTCATCTGTGTCTAACATAATGCTTGGTACCAAATGTCGAATTTAAATGAATTTTCTTTGCAATCTTCACTAAAAATGAGGGTTTTATCGATAACTTGGGAGGGTGAATAAAAGAAACCTCTTAAGGCCTTTTGATATTCTGTTAGAAACGGAAAGATTAAAAACAAAAAAGTTTCAGAAAATGAGGTCGACAAGGCCTTTTATGATCAAATATTCAAACCCATTCCTAAGTGCCTAGCACTTGGTTTGTCTCATTTTTGTCTGCACTTAAAATAGTAAGCCCGAACATCATTGATGGGGGTTTGAAACTCACTCATTCAATCGGTGAGATTCGATACACTACACTTTCGGAAGTTTTATTCCAAAACGGCAAGGAAAAAGAAGAGAACGACGGCAGTGAACCAATGCTCACAACTTAGTGACCGCAGGGTCACTTGGCGGCGCCGACATTTTTGCTATCCAATCGCCGGGGAGTCCGGAGAGAACGCTCTCTGGATTGGTCAGAAGAAACATCTGTCCAGATTCATTCAAGAAGGGACTTGACGTGGGGCTCGGCCGGCAGAGCCTTCTGGCCAATCAGAGAACGCATGGGGGCGGGCTTTGCCGCAGAGGGTGGAATGGAGCCTATCTCGGAAGGCTAGTATCCGCCAGGCAGAGCGGCCTGTCGCCAGCGGAGGGGGAGTGGCCTCCGGCCGCGGGTTCCCGACTGCATGGGCCTGCGCGCGGAGTGGGTGGGGCCCGCGTGCCTGGGCGGGGCGAGCGGTGTCAGCGGCGGAGCCGGATGCGGGCGGTGCCGCGGCCGCCGCTGCCCTGGGGATGGGCGGAGCCCCGGCCGCCAGTGCTGGTGGCCGCTGCTAGCGGCCGCCTCTGCTCCCGCGCGTCGCTGCTTCCCAGGGCGGCGGTATGCTGGGGAAAGGGGTAGTCGGCGGTGGCGGCGGCACCAAGGCGCCCAAGCCCTCCTTCGTGTCGTACGTGCGCCCCGAGGTGAGGGGGCGCCGCGCGGGCGGGGCGTCTTACTGGAGCGGCAGGGGCGAGGGGCGCCTGCAGCCCCTTACCCACCGCAGGAAGAGCCGCGGGCGCTTCCTGCCCGGGTGCCGGAGGGAAGCCGAGCGGAGTGAGGCCCCCAGGGGCGCGCTGGGCTTCCCGGCGGGCCCGGCTGAGGATCCCCGACGCGGGCACGCAGGTGCTCGAGTTCAGGGCCTGGCTTGTTGGCGACCAGGTGAAGGGGCCCGAGCCGGGAAGGTACTGCGGCCCGGCAAGCTCCTGGCTGCAGTGGAGGGGAGCTGGGTTTGGGGCACCGAGAGAGGGGAAGAGCAGGGACGTCTGGACCCCCTTGGGGACCTGCCCAGAGCCTGCAGTCCGGGCGGGTCAGCCCTGCCCTTGGAATTTCTCAGTGAGTCTGTGTAGAGCTTGCTTATCTCAGCTGCTTGCTTCTAAGAGTGCTATTTGATGCCGCTGGCGGGATACCGTGCACTGCCTCCCGCTTCCCATCAGCACTGCAGGGAGAAAGTGTGGGTCGGTCCCGGCCTCAGTCAGCCTCTACCTCTTCCTTGTGAATTCCCCTCTGTCGCTTTTTCCCCTTTTTATTTCACCCCCTCACCATCACCCTTTCGACCGCCCTCCTGCTTTCCTCCTGGAGTTTTACTGTCAAGTTCATTCATTCATTCAGAAAATATTTTTTGAGCTCCTACTCAGTGCCAGGCACTGTTCTAAAACTGCTTGGGGGTATACATCAATGAACAAAACAAAGATCCCCGTTCTCCCGGAGCTTATCTGAGGGAGAGAGGGGTAAACAATGAATAAAATAGGTATAAGTAAATTATATGGTATATTAGAAGTTGAAAGTATCATGGGAAAAGAAAAGACCTTCTCTTCTCGCACAGTGGCATTTGAGCAAAGACTTGAAGGATGCTTGGGATCTGAGGAAGCGTCTCTGGAGTGTTGGAGGGCCATCAAGGAAACCAGCCCTGCAGAATCCAGGGGAGGAGGGGGAGAGTCCTAGGAGAGGAGGTGAGAGAGGTTACAACCTGTAGGCCTTGCTGAGAGCTTCTTGAGCAGTAGCTCCCAATCCAAATGCCTAATTAGATGCATTTTCATTTTGGATTTCTGAAGGTTTTTTCCTGCTCCTGTCTCAGCAGTTTAAACAGCAATGTGCAGAAGCATTAGCAAACTCTTCGGCTGTCTTCACACCTCTGTAAAGCAAAGGCAGGTGGGCTGTGGATGAGAGGGCTTGATCCAGGACTGCTTCTCTAAGACCACCTGTGGCCTGAAGCCTTTGCATATACATCTTTAAATTCAAATGTGTGTCTTTTTTACCAGTGGAGAGTACTCTTGAAATGAGTCTTATTTTTAGTCCTGATTTTTAAATAAAACCCACTTCCTCTGTAAGTGCTTGATAACGAGTCAGGGTCATCTTGCATATTCAGCAGGCTCTCCTGTAGTATGGAGGGTAAGAAATGTGGTCAGTTTCTCTTTGTGTCTTTTTTGATGGAGACCTGGTTGAAACACTGCTGATCTTTTAACCTTTCCTCTTTAGGGCGACTAAACTACAAGTGGAAGGTCTTCTGAAATGTGGCCAGAGTTCAAGAATGTTCAAATTTTTTATCCCCCAAGAGCACATGTTGTAATTAGACATGTTTACCCTCTTTGCCCACAGCTCCTGATATGTTTCCTTTGAGGGATAATTAGGGAAGGGGAGTGGTTCAGCCCCAAAATAAGCCTGAAGTGGTCACATTTTTCAGATCCCTATAGTTGGCAGTTTTGTTTTCTTGCAAGAAAATAGTGCTGTGTAGACACTATGCTTCTTTGTTGAAATCTGTCTCAAAAAATATTTTTGAGAGGATAAGGCTCTGACCTAAATCATGGATGGTTTTTAGAAGATAAGGGAATGAGGGAGTAAGGAGACAATTTGCTGTTAAGTACAGTATAGCTTTTGCTAGCTATTACGTTATGGGAAATGCATGTGAGCAGCTTCAAGGTATAGCCTATGTGCCTCTGAGAGCACTGGGTCCGGTAACCTTCTCTTGACTCAGTAGGAGGAATCCTTCAGAACACTTTTCTGAAGACTGTCATTCTGCTGTTTCTATTCCTTTCCCTCACACTGCCCTCATCTTTACTGCTTGTCATGTGTGTTTTCCTATCACTGTCTTCTTTGTATGCTCTTTGTTTTTGTTAGCTGGGAAGTTGCAATTTCTCACACACTTGTTTGCTGGTAGATCACTAAGCTTCCAGAACACCCTTCACGCCTTCACGGTGTCAAGTGCCTTATGATACCTGTGCCTGGGGATGAACTTGTTCTAGGCTGATCAGATCTTAGAAGATTTATCAACAGCTGCATTCTGTATGCCAAAGAGGCTATCAAGAGCCAGCACTTTCTATTAAAAACGTAAGGCTTAACTGGATAAAGTATTTGAAGATAATGCTTATAAACATGATGGCTTATTTTTTTTTGTCTTGTGATCAGAAAGGATTGGCATTGGACAGCCTAAAAGGAGGGGTGGGAGTTTTAACTTCACCTGTTAAAACTGGATCTCTGCCACAGTAACTTGGCTCTTCTGTCATTTATTCTCCTAAATCAGTGAACGTGAAAGTTAAAATCCTGAACTGTAATTTAGGATCTTTGGTCATGTTTTGTGAACTCTGCCCAGAGGGTTGCAGATCAGTAAACTGCGTAAATGGGAAGCTGCTGGTTCTGGAAGCTGAGGTGAACAGGAGGGAGAGAGCTGGGCCTATCTTGGTGGTACCCAGTGGCTGGTACTTAAAAACATCTCAACACCTCCACCCCAGCTTAGCCTCAGACACAAGGTGCCTCTGTGCAGGGGAACCCTGGATGCTGAGCTCTGCTTCAGGGAGGTGTTTGGTTATAGTTTGGGTGCCAGATCCACTTTTCTTATTAAATAAAACACCTGTTTGAATTATTATTATTTCAGAAGTCGAAGTGGTCATTGTAGAAAAATAGGACAATATAGATAAGCAAACAAATTTTTTACAGAAAAATTATAAGCTTATTAACGACTTGGAATGTATCCTGTCAGATATGTGTGTAGGTGTATGCATATGTTTTTTACCAAAATGGGACTAATATTGCTGATCACATTATTTTGTAATCTGCCCATTTCACCAGAAATGTATATTGTAAATGTCTTTCTATGCCCATTGTTAACCTATAACTTCATTTTAAATTAGACCCCTTTTCCTCAACAGAGACAGACAGTGTGATGGGGAGATGTTAGGTAGCGCGAAGAGCCCAAGAAAGTATTGTGGTTTTTTTTAATAAATTTATTTATTTGTTTGTTTATTTATTTTGGCTGTGTTGGGTCTTTGTTGCTGTGCGCAGGCTTTCTCTAGTTGTAGAGAGCGGGGGCTACTCTTCGTTGCGGTGCGTGGGCTTCTCATTGCGGTGGCCTCTTTTGTTGCAGAGCGCGGGCTCTAGGCGTGTGGGCCTCAGCAGTTGTGGCGCGTGGACTCAGTAGTTGTGGCTTGCAGGCCCTAGAGCGCAGGCTCAGTAGTTGTGGTGCACAGGCCCAGTTGCTCTGTGGCATTTGGGATCTTCCTGGACCGGGGCTCGAACCCATGTCCCCTGCATTGGCAGGCGGACTCCTAACCACTGCGCCACCAGGGAAACCCCAGTAGTGTGGTTTTTAAATGGTTTTCTAGTTAGTCGCCTTCTCTGCTGCCGAATGACAATTCTGATCCTTTAAGACTGTCAGTTCTCTGCTTCGTTACCTGGAAATTGTAAGCACAGGTTTGGTAATTCATAGTGGTTAGAAATGCTTAGTGTCTCTACCTGGCAGCTTGTAAATAAAGGACCCTTAGGTGATCCTAAGAGAAAGTTCTGATTTAATAAGAGCCGGTTCCATTGTGATAAGGGAGCCAAATAAAAGCCTCAGGGTGCTTGTGTGTTGTTCTCTGAAACTAAGACCAGGAAAAATTCAGCTTTTAGAGTTTGCTGTACTTGTGCCCGTGTTTGTGTGGTATTCCAAATATGGTTAAGATGTACTTTCTAGTTGAGTTCAGGTCAGTGCTTGACTTCAATGTACTAATAATAGTTATTAATTACTTAGTTGTGGATTTTCAGACTTGGAAGAGAATTTAAAGATGATCCACTCCACCCCTGAACTCTTCCTCTGTTATGTCGATGTGAATGAGGCCCAGCGGGGTTAATTGCCCTGCCCAGGGTACAGTGTTATTGTAGAACAGAGTTAAGAGCTGTCTCTGGAGGCCAGCAGTGCCTGTGGCTAAGTCAGACCCACAGCAGTTCAGGAAAGGTTTTATATAGATGTGGGGAGAAAAGGCAAGAAGAGACATGAAGATTGAGAAGGGTCCAAAAAATCCAGATTTAAGAGCTGATTTTTTTTCCTTCTTATTGATCCCTCAGGGAAAAGAATGCATTCGATTGCCTCTTCCTCATTTAAGGCCATTTCTTTTGGTGGGGAGAAGTGAACCCATGATCCTGAATTCTTCCCAGAGATAGGACTGCAGGTATATATCAAAATAAACAAACCAAGAATTCACTGATATTCATTAGGCACTTCTGTGTCCCAGAAACTGCTTATCTCATTTCATCTTCATCTGTCTTATGTGGCAGATACTACCATTACCTCTCTTTTTTGTGTCTAGATGTGGAAAGTGAGACTCAGAGAGGTTAAGTACCTTACTCAGGGTCACAGCTGGCAAAGGTTGGTGCCAGAATTTAAACTAGGGCCTTCTGACTCCAGGGCCATTCTCTTATCCCTCTATTTGTGAATGCAGGGAATATCATTAGTGAAACATGCTTATAGGCATGCCTGGTGTTTGCACGCTAGAGTGCTTTCTCATTCCTGTTCTCTAGCAGCGGTTTCTTTCTTGGCTTTTGTTAGATTCTCCACCAGGAGCAGATATGGGGCTCATTGGCGATACGGTTAATTTGTTCAACAGATATTTATTCAGCACCTACTAGTACCAGGCACTATTCTAAGATGTTGGGGATCCAAAACAGATGAAAT